CATTCGAGTAGGAGAGAGAGATGTGTATAAGAGACAGCTCCCCCCCCCCGAAAGGAACGATTGACCATCGGTGATCGGTCCTGTGGGAACAATGGTCTAACCGCTAGGCATGCATTGTTTCCGGACATGGGTCCTTTCACCTTTCGGTACAATTCTGAACACATCAGCCAGGATGATCAACAAAAATCACCCTCGACGCTGCGACGAGACGGCCGACCACGGCCGATGAAAAGGGGCACGTGGAACGCNGGGGGGGGGGGGGGGGGGGGGGGGGGGGGGGGGGGGGGGGGGGGGGGGAGCCTGCTGGATTGGTTCCCGCCGGGAGCGCCTCCTCCAACAACTCACTCAGAGCTCGTCGAGGTCTTGAAACTGCTCATCTCCATCACCCTCCTCCTCTTCCTCCTGCGTTCGTTTTGAAATCGGCACACGGAGATTTACAACAAACAGTTAGGCGCACGGAAAGCACATGTTTCAGTTGCGGCATATCGATGCTGCCGTGTCCATGCCGCCTGGGCCTTTGGCCACCCCTGTCGCCATGTTGGGTGACAAGTGGGGGATTCAAATGGACTAATGTTGCCTAGGAAGCAAGCTCACAGATTTCCTCCGGCAGCAAACAAACGGTGAGCCCATCGAACCAACCGGCGCGACAAACTTGGAAGGAGCTATGCCGACACGTACAACTATAACTAGCGTACGGTGTGGAGTCTAAAATCAACCGAGCATCAACCAACATGAAACCACGAAAAGAAGAGCACAAAGATCGGGGGTGAATCAACATGGTGACAAGACACGCGCAGTGCTTTTCCATGTTTTAGATGAACGAATACAGTGAGAGAATGTGCTGCACGTTTGCGGAGGAATGGAAATTTTTCGCAAATTTGAAGACATTTCGAGGCATGGGCGATATACATAAAAATGGCAACAATCGTTTGCAAGCAAAGGCCATGGCGCTATATTGGGGAGTGTGGGTGGCGGCCATTGATGCATCTACGGCTGCTTGCGCGGTTGGAGGTATGTCTTTGGATTGCTCCGTGGGTGCCTGAGTCGGCTAGCCCCTGATGTCTTTGCCATGAGCTGACTGGTTTGACTGATTGTTCTTGCCTATGGCTGAGTCACTGCGAGCCCGAAAGTTCACACGCAGGTCCGCACAAAAAACTTACCTACATTTTCTGCGAGCAAGGTATCTGCGTTGAGGTCAAGACGAGTATTGGTGGCAAGACGAGACGACGAAGACAACAACCACCAGACAGGTGCTGCATGCCATCAATGTTTTCATGTTTTTTACCACGATTCGTGCACGCATCCACACATACCTCGTCTGGGATCTCCACCTCCTCGAGGAGGTCCATGCTGCTAAGGTTCAGCGTCTTGGCCATGGCACGCTGTACCCGGTTGGCGAATGCCTCGGTATCTTCCACCTGGAAGGACAACATCCACACAAACCTCTCATCAGATGCCGTGCCATCAAGACCAACAACAGCACCAGTATCGCGAGCTGCAGATGGAGATTAACGTCTACGTAACATGTAGGAAGGCCGAAGGCCGACCTACACACGAGAATCATGTTAGCAATATGTCACTTGATGAGTGCTACGCACCGATCGCACCGATGCTCTGCATGCAGTGGATAATCTCGTCTACCTACTTTTTTTAACTCGTAGCAGAGTGGGGTTCAAATTATCCCTCCGGGGTGCCCAAGTTGCAAATCTGAGGTGGGCAGAAAAAAACAACCAAACACAAACACACGCACACACACGGGAGGCCGCCTTGCCTGGAAACCAGAAGCAGTGAGAGCAGTCTCGTAAAGAAGCCAGGACAGGTCCGCCGTCTCCTCAGATTCAGGGTCTTCTTCGATCTGCCACGGAACGAAAGGTGCACGAACATTTAAGTCTACAGGTTAGGGTTGGGTCATGGTCGGGACAACCAGCCCCGGGCAGGCCACTCCGTTGCCTCCGGAACATACGGTTCGGGTATCCCTGGTAGACAAACCACAGCCCACACAGCCCGCTTCACACCCTTTCCAAACTTTTAGTCAGACAATAACGCACCATTGGACATTGTGGATGGATCAGTATCCACATCTGATCTTGTATTCTGGGGCTAGAAAAAACCTACCGCGACCAGAACACGGTGCGGGACACCACCAGGGGAGAGGACCACTTGAGTCCAACTGACAAACAGGCAATCCACAGGCCGGCCATGAAATGATCCTCAACCGCACAACTGTTCCAGAGAAGGGCTAATCTTCTTATCACAAGGCTGTTCCATGTCTTTCGGGCATCACTTCGAGAAGGCCATCAACTGGACTATCACGATATTCGACGGCAACCCTCGAGAAATTTTGAAGGCGTGCGACATGTGCCACATGAGCAACGTTGATCGTGAGGTGGTGATGGCAAGTGAACACGAAACCTTTGTCAACGAACCCGATCTGAGCGCTATAGACCTGTTATCGCGACCGTGAGAGATGACCACGCATGCATGCCTGACCGAATGATGGGGTATCGGAGGAGTTGGAACCGCATGCATATTGGAGTACCGCTGCTTGCTCGCTTTTGTTAAATCCCGGAACGCTTGGCATGTCTATAATCCAACTCGAAGAGATTACCCAATGATCTGCGCCACTCTCAACGCAACTCCTCCCCCAAGAGCCCAATTCTACTATTATCGTGAGGGTGCAGAAATAAACGGGGGCAAAGACGGCAAGAGAAATAGCCACCTTCTTGTTGAGCTCGTGCACGATGGGGTGTCGCGGGTTTATCTCCATGCTGCGGTGCCCCCCGAGCAAACCCATCTGCTTGCTGTCGGCCAGGGTCTGCGCCTTCATGATGCGCTCCATGTTGGCACTGTACCCGTACGCGGCCGACACGATGATGGCGGGGGTCCCTTCTACGCGCTGGCTGACGGACACCTGAGATGCAGTTGGTCAATCAGAGCCCGACATGACATCCCGGCAGCGGACATGGACAAGCCGGACAAAATGGCATCAGAATCGAGGAGCACTGTCAAATAGAAGTCAGCAGAGGTGTGTATGGCTTGGCAGCATCACCGCGGAACGCTACTTAGCCGAGAAGCCTACAGAGGTACGGTACGGCTTTGCATCAGAACCGAGGGCCACTAGACGACAAGTGCACATCAGAGGCGAATTTATAGCCTGACCTGTATCTCGGTGATTTCGCAAATTACGCATCTTGAGTAGCCTCGCACGCGAAACCGACCAAACTCATACGGTAGAAGCTTTCGGATGCCCACATGCATTGCAGAGGTCTCCGTTGTTTCCTGAGTAATGATTGCCTTCCAGGACGGCACTCAGACGATTCTTTCGGCTTGCTAACCTTCCAGGCTGCACCCTGCTTGGCAAAGCGCTATTTTTGTGCGCGCGCAGGTATGCTAGCGTTCTGACACATACGTTCACTCGACGGATCTCATTCATGTTTACCCTCCCTCACATGCGTCTACTACAGCGTCCATCGTTTCAGCACACGCCTTGCAGTGCATCCCGCAAAAACACCGTTCTGCAGCCAACAGGCTAGTGGTATCTTGGAAGGTGACCGCCACATGCAAGTAGGGTTGCGGGTTAGGCAGGTGTCCAAGCACCCGCATTGTGCAGCGTTCCAGTACCCGTCTTCGCCATGCGTGTGTCCCGAAAAACGTCCAGTTTGTTATTGAGCCAACACGCTGGCGGAGCCATTAAAGGCGACCTCTAGGGATGCGACGGGTACTGTAAAGAAGGGGTGCAAGACACACCTTGCTGATCTTGCCCTTGAACATGTCCTTGAGGTGTTCGGCGAGGGGGGTGAACATCTTCTTGTAGTATTTTTCTCTCTTCTTCACGTCGGCCACATCCTCGTCCCCGAAGCTAAGCCCTTCCTTGGTCACGGACTGCATCCTGCCACAACGACAACAGCACGAGGAAAACACAAAGTTGGGCTTCGGACGCTGGGATGATTCAGACCGCGCCACCAATGACCCGGGAGTTTCGGGCTTCAGGCAAGAAACCGAAACTTGAACAACTTTATGTTCATGCATAAGGACAGGTTCTCCGATAAGAATCACAATGTACGTGCTCGCTTCATATAGTCGTTCATCGCCTACGGACACCAAACATATTGAATTCCCTCGATTAAGGACAACTTTTTTTCACGGGCATGGTGGCGCGCAGAACGTACAACACAACAAGGGGTATCAACCTCAAGGATGCTTCCCCGGCTTAAGGACACATTTTTTTTGGCAAAAACCAGTTGTGACCTTAACCGAGGTTAGACTGTAACGCTACATACCTATGCTACAGTAGGGTTGGAATGCCTGCCCCCCACCGCAGAGAATAAGAAACGAGCGTCGGGAAAAGACAACAGCCCTTACCCTACGTTGGCGCGTTCAGTAGGCTTGGAGGGAGAGTAGGGATCAGAATACATGGACGCTCAAGCGTCTGAAAGCTCAAGTGCCAACAACGACCGACCGCACCGTAGCACGCCACCACGTCTGTATGTGTGGTGACATAGAGGGAACACCAACGTCCTCGTGGCTTACTTCTTGTCTTCGAAGTCAGTGATGGAGCCAATTGTCATCTCGTCGATAGGCTCCGTGAGGTAGAGGACCTCGAGCCCCTTCTTGTTCAGCTTCTCCAGGAAGGGGGACTTCTCCACAGCCTGGTAAGTTAAAGAACCAAAAAGATAAGAATCTGCGCTGAGAAAAGGACGCGCGTGGACTCCAGAAAATCTTGTGAGACGCCTGTCAACATTTTCTTAAGTTCCGTCCGAGCAGTCATGACATACTGCTCTGAAGACCAAACAAAACAAGTCACCGATAACAGCGACAGGACTGGCTCGATGTAGAAATGGCAAAGCTGACATTGGCACACCTTGAGACATTGGCAACGCCCTCTCCTGCCTCCCACTCAAACAACCAAGGCTTGCAAAACATGTGTACGCCCGCCCCCACCCCCCTGCCCCCGTCCCCACCAACACAGCAATAAAGCTACCGCCACGATCAAACCCCGTAACCAGCAATACCTCTGCCCCGCGCGTTACATCTCCAAACAACGAACGACTCCATACCTCCGTGGACTCTCCTGCGATGTAGAAAATGGAGGACTGCCATTCCGGCATGCCGGCCACGTAGTCCTCCAAGCTGACCCACTTGCCGTCGGACTTGTTGCTCTTGAACCTCAGCAGCTTCACGAGTTTGCTCCTGTTGGCGTTGTCCTCCATCACGCCGAGCTTGATGCTCTTGCCGAACTCGTTCCAGAACTGGATGTAAGGGTGCTCTTCCTGGTGGACACAGGAAGTGTGTCGACGTTAAGCGTAACGGTGGGATTCGAAGGACGATTGACGTCGACAGCTGTCACGACAGAGTTCAGCACATCGGCAGGTTTTGAATGATGGTACGCTCCTACTTCATCAGAACTGGACGCAAGGGTATTGCGCGTCCTCGTTGCTAGTGGGGAGTCATCGACGAAATAGTTGCGTACGACGGCAGGTTTCGAATGATGATATACATCAGAGCAAGACAAGATAGAGGGAGAGGGAGGAAGGGAGGGAGGGGGAGGGAGAGAGAGAGGAGAGAGAGAGAGAGAGAGAGGGAAACAGATCATGTGGAACGCGCATTTCCTATGGGTTGTGTCGATAATCCTGTGTAGTGTCGACGTGCTGCTTTGCAAATTGACGTCCATGCCAACGAACGGTACTTCTATTTTACTTGAATGTTGAATTCTGACCTCGCCCTCCTCGTCTTCGACTTCCTCCGTTGCCAGCTTGCGGAGCATCTCAAGAGTCTTCCGAACAAGCTTCTTGGCCATCACCTTCAACACCTGTTACAAAAGTCATACCAGTTTGCGGACATTCCACAAAGCGTGCAGTACACGCGTCGAAATTCAGCAGAACCTCGCGGGAGGCATGGCAGCACGTGGACAGCACTTTAAATGTCTCGTGCATGCATAGCAACCACAGCACGTCGACAGCAGTTTGAAAGCCTCCCGTGTGCATAGTAACCACAATCAGCTCCAGTGGGTGCCCCGCACACAACACACAAATGCGCGAAAGCCGAAGACCTCCTGGGTGTGTGTAGGCAGCCCCGTGAGCGTGAACATGAAACCGAAATATCTTCACAAGCTCTGCGGTCGGCAGTAGTCTACGCAGTTTTGTTTCAAGTGGGCAAACATACATACAATCCGCTAAGACGAGGGTCTGTGTGCGCCCTCCCTCCTCTCGAAACTTACTTCTTTGTGCCGCGGGTCGAACACCCCAACCATTGCAGTGTACATAACGGTTCACACCTCCCACGACATCTTGTGAATTTCTTGCCATGACAAATCTGGATCCATTGCGACGAGACCATGATGATATGGTCTTGCTCTTCCTCATACATGCGACCATCTTTGTATTTTTCTTACAGAAACACAACAAACCCATCTAACAAAAAATCCACAGAGCTAAGAAAGAGCCCAAGACAAGCTCGTCGGTGTTCCCAACAACAATACCAATAAAAATTCGGAGTAAACTTGAAGACTTCTCAAGACGGGGGCAGCATCTAAACATAAAGCGACACTCCTGTTGACGGCCAGCGCGACCGACCTTGTGCTCCTGAAGCATCTCGCGGCTGACGTTGAGGGGCAGGTCGTCCGAGTCCACCACTCCGCGGATGAAGGACAGGTACCGGGGCAACAGCTCGTCGAACTCGTCGGTGATAAGCACCTTGCGAACGTACAGCTTCAGCCCGCCGCGGGAGTCGTCTGCATTGCGTCGGAGAGCGCGTCGGGAACTGGTCATACCGGGGGGCTACACTATTGCAACCCGGACGACGGTAAAGCTGTGGTCGTGATCACTGGAATCATTGCCATAAAATACGTGCTACCACTGCAGTGCCGATCCTAGTCCCGCCCCATGCCATCCCAACCCTAAACCACGATGAAGTTACCGTCTCCTGCCGCGCGAGTCCTAGCCCCGTCCCGTCCCGTCCCGTCCCGTCCCGTCCCGTCCCGTCCCAACAGAAACCACGGCGAAGGCACCGTTCTCCTTCCATACGAGTAAGTACCGTAAATGACACAAGATTACACACCCCCTGGACCAATTTTCAAATCTCGATCTCTCAACAAAAGAAAGAGTCACAGCGCCGAAAACGGTGGCGTTGAAGCTGTCTCGTCGAGAGCTTTCCGGAGATGTATTGTTTCAGTTACACATCCTCTTCGTCGTGGCATAATCGAGCTTCGAAAATTGGTCCAGGGGGTGTGTTATCTTGTGTCATATACGGTAGTCTCGTCCCATCCCAATGAACACTACGACGAAGTCACAGTCCTGGTCCCGTCCGGTCCCGTTCCACAGCAATCCACGACCACCACGCCGTTCCCGTGCCATGCGAGTCCTAGTCCCGTTCCGTATTATTCCATCCCAACATTGACGAATTCTGGTCCCGTCCCATCCCATCCTAGAAACAACCGCAACCAAAGGCATCGTCCCCCTGCCATCCACCTGACTCAGCCACGCCACTCAACTCACCGTAGTAGTGGTCGTACATGTTGTATGGCGCCTTGCTAGGCGCGAAGAGGATGGACTTGAACTCGACTTCTCCCTCGGCCTTGAAGTGGATCCACGTCGCCGCGTCCGAAGTATCTCCGGAGAGGGCCTGCCGCGCGCACGTGTTTTTTTTTTTCTACTTTAGACATCTCCATTTCTACAGATGACCAGTCTCGGAAAGATTAGCAATGAACTCATATGCATAGCGTAAGCGGACACACGAAGCAGCATACAGCGATAAGTATCTCCCCGGTGGGTAACAGGCTTTACAAGACTGAATAGATTCGGGCCAAAGCCCGCGTGTGCGCTTGTTTGTGCCGAGAGAGTGCATGCCCAAACGGAAAAACGTTGTGATCTAGGGGGCAGCACCGATCGTCTACCTGACCCCAAAACGGCATGTGCCCAGTTCGATTTTCTCAAACACGAGAATATACGCACCTTGTAGAAGTTGTGGTACTCTTCGTCGGTGATCTCGTCCTTGTCACGCGCCCACACAGCCACGTTAGCATTAACCCTCTCCCAGTCCAATGTCTTGACGGTCTTGTACTTCACGTCCACTTCCACCTCTTCGAAGTCATCTTCCTGTGGGTGTGTATTATTGGTATTTGGTTGTTACGGTTCGCGTTCGGAACTAGCGTTTCGGAATGGCTGCAGAGGTAAAAACAACAAATTGACTCAAGCGAATCCACAACAAAACAAGACCATCACAGAAAACCGAAGCTATTGGAACGTTTGTGGTGTTGTGGCCTGGTATACAAGGCTATTCCCACGTTGTCTAATCTAGCCCTTTCGATTTCATTTGCCGTTCTTACAAAATGCATTGTACTCTTATGCATAACTCCGCAGCTGCCGTTGTATCCGCTTGCCGGAGTTCCTTTCATTTGGGTTTTCAGCACGCACAATGTTCAACTACAAGGTGATGACCTTGTTTTCAAGGAACGCTCCATAAAGCACGTTTATTCGAACACGTAGACGCGCACACACACACACCATCGCTTCTCCCAATCATGAAAAAATAGTTCATGTGTGCTATTCCTTGAGAGGTGAAGGTATGGTGGATACCCATTACATTAACCCACTATTACCCCCCAATTGAATGACGTCCCTCTTTCTCACGAACGACTGCAATAGTTCAGCACCTTGACGGTATCTGTTGCTGTTGTGCATATCAGTATGAAAGCGTTCTATTGGATGTTCGACGCGCTTGGGGCCCTCGGTATCGGCGTGTCACGGCCATGGTATTTCTCTCCTCAACGCAGCGATAAGCGCGTCAGAAAAGGAATTCAAATACTTCGTCATCGGGGTCAAGCACACCAAACACCACCAGTGCAGGAACAAAAAAAAGGGTCCTGTCCTCTACCGGAAGAGATGATATTTTATAAATTGTCACATATATGCATTATATGGGATACAGCACCGCGGGAGGGCTAATGGGTAGGGGGGCTCACGGAGAGGAACACTTCTGTGTGACAACGGGTTAGAGCACATGGCACAAGTGCTGTGAGCACTAACTTGAAGTGAAGACAAGGAAAGAAAAAGCATACAGGTCCTCTACAGCCCTAGTAGATGCTACCGTACGACGCGATTTGCCACATAGCATAACATGGCGCGGCAAGCTGAGTGCAACAATAAAGGTACAAATGATGGGGAACGAACGTTTTAAAAATTTTTAAGCATCGAGGGAGCACGGTTCACCGGATATCTCGGGGAGCCATCGAATGCCTCGCGGGTTTGTGTTGAGATGGACCATGATTCGCCAAATATTTTTCTTCATCACTTAATATTAGCGTTCACGCACAGCACTTCTGCAGGGTAGGAGGTCAAATCCGTACCATACAAGAGGGTGGTGTGACTAAGGCACTCGACCTTCGTATACCGGAGCCCCCTCTAATACCGGATGAAGGGAGTACTCAAATATAAGTATACTGTGGAGGGTCGAGTCCATGACAACCGATTTCGACCCTCTTACCATATATCGGAGCCACGACTGTATTTGAATGCGGAGCGGTTTGTTCCATGGTCTGTGTCCTCGGTATCCGCGCGTCACGGCCACGGAAATTCTCTCCTCAATGCGGCGATAACCGTGTCGGAGAAGGAATTCAATGAAGATGTTTTTCATCGGAGACAAACGTGGTTAAAACAGAAAGCACGCGCAGAACACTCGAGAGCCCCTTCATCTTTGCCCGAGGTTCGTCTATAACTTGTGTGTGTGGGGGCATAACAACCCCCGACATTACCAATTGGTTTGCATGTAGGGGCTCTTTGCTGAGCACGTGATCTCACGGTCCAACGTATTTTTGAGCCCAAAAAACTGCGTACCACCTACAAAGAAGAGGGCCCTTAAGAACGCTCTGTTCGGCCTCACACAGCGCTGCTGATGTGCCTTGCAGCAGAGGCAAGCAGGGTGCTTTAGCCTTGGCACAAAAAATGCTAGGTATGCATACCACAAACAAAAGGCAAGCAAACGAAAAACAAGGGGAATAAAAACTATCGCACGCAAGCTAACCATGCGTAGTCTGGATTTTATACCTCGTCACCCTCTTCGTCTCCCGAGTCTGTCGTCACGTCAGCATCCGCACGGTCGATTCGCGCGCAACACAGCAGCGGAGGTGATTTCCGCCATCCAGCAACGGCGGGGGGAAGACGAACAGCGCAAGGGGCCAAAGAAACACATTAATGCAGGTTTGAAGCAAGCCAAGGAGCCTCACAGACACGCCACACTGTACACGGAGACACAACGCGGAAAAACTCACACAACAATTACGGTTGAGGAAGCAGCAATGGAAACGGACCTCGATGCTCCTTCTCGACAACATGGGTTGACCACTTTTTGTACGTGTTTTTCTCGCCTTTCGCCGCACGATGGCAACCAGCAGGTTCGCAAACAACCGGTTCAATTCCTCGTGTCACTGCTTAGCCCCAACTCAATTATCCCCCCACATAACAGCGCAATACACGCTCGAGACATGGAAAAGAATGTTCGGAGACGAGAGCGAGGGAAAGGAATCAACCAAAAATTCTTCACTTCAGAGAACATTGATCGTATGGTGACTTCGGGCCCTGGCTCTCGCTCTCACCCTCGTCCCCGTCGTCCTCCTCCTCTTCCTCGTCGTCTTCTACCTCAATCTCCTCTTCTTTCTCCACCAGCTGGTAGATGGGGAAGGTGATGAACTCGGAGTAGCGGTGGATGAGGTTCTTGAGCGTAGACTCCGACAAGAACTCACCGGCGTCCTCCTTGAGGTGGAGGACGATTTCCGTTCCTCGGCCTGGGGACGGGCAAAGAATCAATTACCACACAGGAAACCGGTTCATGTTAGAGAATAAAAAAAAAGTCATCCAATGTTTCTCTGCCGTCGTGCCTTGACAACACCAAGAAAGATTGACGGAACACTGTCGGTGGCGTCAAGTTTGCTCTCAAGTCGGGGCATGTGGTCATGGCATGACTACAAGCCCCCGCCAGCGCCACGCAAGACCAAAAACGTGCCCAAGAAAAAAGAACACCAACTCTCAGGAAAACCGTCCATGCGTCTTCCCCACGCCGAACGACGAATGGCATAGCTCGCTGGTGCTACTACATAGTGTTTTCCCAAAGGGAGGGCTGAGCTGAAATTGTCACCCATATCGGTACGTAAGTGGCTTTGCTTGCTTGGGCACCGGTCTTCAGCTTAGCGAACAACATGCGTCGAATCTCACCGAGCGTGTTCCCGCGAGGATCCTTGGACACGGTGAAGGTGCTGTCAGCTGTAGATTCCCACACGTACTGGTCATCGTCGTTGTTCTTGGAGATCACCTGTCGGGAGTTTCATGTCAAGATATTTAAGGGAGAGAACGTAGACAAAATAAACAAGAGACGGAGGTCACGCCCGGGCAGTTGCATTTGCCGAGGAGTTAGAAGGGCAGTTTGTCTGACCGTGCGGACGCGTTACGCACGCCTAACAATTTAACAGAAAATGTGACGATCGCAATGCACTTGTGAGAGCTCAACGGCCAATTTGTTGCTGTTCCGACGACGAGCCTCGTAGGCATATGTTTAGACTAGTGTATTTGTCTGCCGAATGCTTGATCAACCATCAGATGGATCGTCAACGGCTCGACATACATTGGGACTAAAGACGTGGTTCAATACAAGGAAAACACATTCGGAAGTGAAGTTTGTTGGGCGTGAGAATAAACAAAACATGGAAGCCATTGTGGAAAAACGCCAACCGTCGAAAAATCCACAGCCAAAGAATACATGAGAACCGAACAACCCCCCGAAAAACAACACACGGAAAAAACAACACACTTTACTTCAACACTGATCACTCTATCCTGCACTAGCCTGGCCTCCCCCGTGAAGCCCCCTCCTTACCGGATCCGAGATCATGGCCCGTGAGTACAAGCGGTTCCCTCTTTCAGTCGTCGCACTCAGACATCAGCGGTCCGCCGGCTAGCGCGGTCGACGCAAGAAAAATTGAAACCCAAACCATACACAAACTCACGGGGTCCGAGGTCATGGCCCTAGAAACGGGTCCCGTTTTGAGCCGCCAAACTCAGACTGGCCTCTTCCCATTGACCAGCCGACTACTAGCGCGGCCGATGCTAAAAACAACAAATCGACGCTATTACCAACAACAAGGACACACACCCGTACCTGCACTTTGTCCGCCACAAGGTAGACCGAGTAGAACCCGACGCCGAACTGTCCGATCAGCCCGAGATCTCCGGTCTCCGTCAAGGCCTCTACAAAGTTGGTCGTGCCCGAACGGGCCACGGTTCCAAGGTTCGAGATGAGGTCCGCCTTCGTCATGCCCACTCCGGTGTCTCGGATCGTCAGGGTACGCGCGTCCTGTCGCATTTTGTTTTTTTGGGTGAAGTGTTGAATTCCGCCGCACGTGAACGCTCGTGCCCCCGAAAGGATCATGCAGCGCATGGCGGTCATAGGTGAGTGAGGCCAACAAGGTACAGCAGTCGTCCTCGCTTTAACAACATTCGTCCCAGGTTTAAGAACAGTCGTACCCCGCGGTTGAGGACACCAAAATTAAGGGCACCATACTCCCGGCTATCAGGACACCTTACAGTATGAGGAGCATCGCGCCCCACAGAACGCGATACAGCCAAGTGAACACACGACCCGCAAAGCTTGGGGTTGGTTGTGTTGGTGTTAAGCACGCTTCTTTTCAGTTCTGACGGCCTTCCTCTGTTGCGACCCTGGGTGGTGCGTCCAGCAAAAATATCGAAAGGGATGAAGATCGACGTCCAGCATAAGTGGGACACACAAATGTATAATATTTCACCTTGTCGGCAGAGATGCGGATTTCGAGGTCCTTCGCGGTGCCGAGTTTATCCGGGTCGGAGACTGACAGGAACCTGATCTTGTCGAGGGCATCCGACGCGTTGCTGATGAGCTCGCGCAGGAAGATGTCCTTGTTCTTGTAGAGCGAGTTGATGATGATGTCCATCAGGCGGTTCACCTGTTGAAAAACGGGTTGCGTATGGCACATATTTGCCGTTTTATGGTTGTTTTGGTACGATAGTTGTCGCGGGGCAGCAGTGCGTCGCCCAGGCCGCGGTACTTGTGGAAATATCGTTCGCTGCCGGTATACCATTACCCCTAAACCGTGAGAGCAGTGGTAGCCTAGCAGCTGTACCCGGGAAGGGACGCTACCACCAGCATCAGAAAACTTCAACGTTTACCAAACAACAAACGCTGCCAACTTTGTCTCGCGTGCTTCTCTTATGTTTCGTAGTTGCCGCCTGCTACTCTACAACGCAGCAGGCCTTGTCCGACTCAACTATGGAAAACAACATCCAAGTCCAGAGGCATCAGCTGTAGTATTTGGCAGCAGCTGCTGCTGCTGCTGTCCAACACCCAACACCATAACCAGACAGTGGTCGCGACATGCACATGACGTGAAGTTGTCATGCGTAGGTGCCTGAGAAAGTCAACCACATCTACATGTAGACCACGCAACCCCCTGAGCCTCCCGATGAAATTGGACCCCTTCAAGCCGGCGACACTGAACGGATGGTACACGCGGGTAGCTTTTGAAAAGCTTGCCAGCGGGCAAGCTCGAGACGTCGTTTTCTTCGCGGGGAGCAGTGAAGCAGGAACATCAATCGTGTGTGACTCCGGCGGTACTCTGGCGCGTCGTGACCTTCGGGTACTGCCCCAGCCGACACAGAGATACCCGTGACAAGATACCGTATGCGGCACGAGAAGAGAACACTTGCGACTTTTAACGTTTCGACTCCCAAAAAATGTCGCCGGAGTGATCTGACAGACATCATATGTTACGGGCTCATGTTGACCAGTAAAAACACTACCGCCGGGTGTGGTATGGTAGTGTGTGTGCTTTGGGGGGTGGCATCCTGTGTGATTTGTACTATAATGCTGTGAGAGTCACATAGGTCGATAAAGTATGCTGTAGCCTGGCTGTGGTGACACGTGGCGTACTTCGGCCTGGAACTCGAAAGCCTCCGCTCCGTCCTTCAGCTGCTCCTCGAACGCCGCGTCCATCGTGGACGCCGGTGCGACAGCCTCCTCAGCCCTAGCCAGCCCCGTGCCGGCGGAGCTGCCCCCTGGACAGGTCGAGGAACCGATCCGATACGAGAAAAACAATTCAGGGAGTGCAATATGTGATTTCTGTTGATTTGACAAGGAGTGAACACCAAACTGCGGTTCGTTGGCCACGGCATGAATTAGAGTTCGGACTTCACAAAACGCGTCGAAAAACATCATGGGTGGACGCGTGTGTGTCGAACAGCATGTGTAGGCGGTGCCTCGGAGCTCATGACAAGTACAGGCCTGCGGGTACCCGCCGTGTGCATGATCGAGAATCGCGCGGGACACCGCCTCAATTCCATCGGACATTCATGCGAGAAACAACCACCACTCTATTAGAGCAGGATGGAGAAATCACAACGGTTCAAGAAGGCCCAGTGGGCATCCAGTGGGACTACAGGTATCAGCACCCCTCCGTTTAACATTTGATATCCCCGGAAACAATACGCAAACACAGTGACAAGGGTTCGTCCGGTGGGCGGGTCTACCGTAGGTTGTACTTCGAGGTATATAAGATAACACACCCCCTAGACCGATTTTCAACGCTCGATTACTCCACGACCAAGAGGATGCCGAAAGCAAACGATACGTCTTCGGAAAGCTGTCAACGGCGGGGCGGTTCTAACTCCGCCATTATCGGCACCGCCACTCCTTCTGTTGTGAAAAATCAAGCCTTGAAAATCGGCCCAGGGGGTGTGATATCTGATGCGCATTATCAACCGCTGAAGGAACTTTCAACACGTTCATCGCGGGTAGACTGAACTCTGCCCTTCCTTGGGGTATCTACAAGACGAAGGACCAGCGTATGGAGTATGTAGGGTCAAAGCAGCATCCTGAAGTTCACAAACACTCCTTAGCGCAGCGGCGGAGCGACCGCTACGAGAGTCACCACGGCAGTACCAGCGGGTTGGTCGCTAGGGGGTCTAGAAAAGACGGTAAGATACGAGGTGGTGCGATGTTTCGTTTTTTTTTTTCGCCAAGCAAACATTCAGCTACAATCTGGCGGCTTTTCAAACAGAGGAAGGGCGCCTACCATCGCCTTTCACACGACCACCCAATTGGCCAACCTCCAACCCCTAACTTTGAACGCCAACTCATTCTATGTTATGCCTTATAACTGCTCCAATTTTGTTCCTCTGTGTGAGACTCCCAAGGCAACCATCGTCATCGTTGATGCGGTGGAACTCTCTGTACCAGCAGCAGCACATCTTCCGCACAGAAGTTGCGCTGCAAACCTCTCGTGATGTCCGGTACCCTCTTGCATCAACACTGCCGCCTCCAGGACTAACGCGTGTACGGGCGACGGTCTATTATCGCGTGCCTGCACGCAGCGCAGCTGATGTGCACAGTATCCCCCGCTGTCGTGCGTCCAGGAGAGCCGATATTTTCGTGGCTGCGTCCTTACCCGGTCGTTTGGATCTAGAACCGCCCGAGTCTAAATGCTCTCCCACACAAAGAGAGAGAGGGCCAGAGTAATGGACAGTGGCACCACCCTTGGTTTGGCGAGCAGTTTCTACGCGCATGGTAGATGGCACAGAGAGGGGAGTGGATTCTGCGAGGGGCCAAGAAACCACACGACACTCAAGGGGAGGAGAAGTGCTACCGGATTTCCTGTTGTTGTGCAAGAGAGACGAGTGTACGGTGTGCGTGTGAAGAGCGACGTCTCACAGAAGCGGTTGGCACTCACATGGGGTAGAGGACTGGAGCGCGGCGGCAGCGCACAGGGCAACGAATCGTGGTCTTCTCATGGTAGCTGTGGATACGTTAGAAACGTGGTGTTCGTGTGCGGCGGGAGGGCTCCTGCGGCGATGCACGATGCACCGAAGTTTATGGGTTTCGACTCGTCTGGATGTCCTGGTGGGGAGGGGCCTCTGGGTCACGTGGTTTTAATGTAGGTCGATATTGAGCTAATGTCCCCGCATACTTGGCCGTTCCGGATTGGTCGAGAGGGTAGGGATCGAAAAACAGGCTCATAGCGTGGGTTTTTGCTCACAGCCAAGAGCACACCCGGGCCTACACGGGCGTATGTGTCTGTATTGTGTCACATGTCCAACTACCAACCCCTCCCGGACTATTGTTGTTTGTGGCACGGTTTGTATGCAACTTAGTGTTATGTCCCGACCCGCTCGTGGACTATGTAACAACCTCTGTCGACTATTGAAGTAGACTAGTTATTTGTTCAGGAAGGCTCCAAACAAAGCCGTACAAGGATCTCCACGATATGGCGCCCGCACATAAGAACCTCAAGTTTCAGCCGAGGCTGGGGTTCTTATGTTGCTGATCATCCTCGTTTGGGCTACAAATGACCGCTATATAGGTGTTAGTGTTGCGTTCTTAACCGAGCCCACAAGTGGTGCTCAAGTTCTTAGTTTCTGATTTATTGCGGGTCTCAATTTCTTAACTGCTAGGTTCATAAGTGCCGGCGCTATCTGTAACCCAGAATCAAAGTGGTCCGGTGGCTGAGCTTAAATGTTACGTCCGGCGGCTGAGCCTACATGTTACGCCTTCTTTCTGACGAAGTATGCATACGTTTTTCAAAATCGAGCCAAATCAAGCATCATCGGTATTTTGATGAGGAGATGGGGTTTATGCACGTTCTGGCACGATTGCCACAGCAGTAATCACAAACCAAAGGCGCGTTGTCCTTTCCACAGCTACTATAGCCCCGAAGCTCTTCCGCACGCGTGCACCAAATATATTGCAATCAATATATAGACTAAAGTACTCTGCGTTGTGCATCAGTAGCAAGGCAATCCATTCTGGTCCATGCCAATCAAGGCTATAACTTCGAAGGAAACCCATCACAGGCACTCGTGTACAGCCCCGCCCTCTCTAGTGCTAGTCGCTTCAAAATGTGTACCAAGAAGAAATTATGGCCGAATGCATCATCAGCAGCACCGACAGCAACGTCTTCCCGGTCGATCGCCAGAAACGGTTCTGCCCGTACGATATGTCGCTCAAGAGCCATGTCGAAAGGCACAGGCCGTCCCGTCACCATATCCCTGACGTCAACGATGTGGGCATCGCTGCCGCTGCCGTCAGGACGCCAGTGCCCGATGTTGTCGTCGAACATGACCGGCCACACCTTCCACGGGACGAGAGAGGATAGCCAAGGTGGCATGCGGGGACTATTGTCAAGCGCCAGATTTTTCACCTGGAGCGAATCGTGGTCCTTTCCTTACCGTGCTTAATCGAGATACAATACTTTACCTTCGGAGTGTCGGACAGGTCAACCGGAAGAACCTTCCCTGCCTCGGCGGACTCCAGGTTCTTCCGCCAGAACGGGTAAAAGTCTCGCAGGGCCAGGCATCGCCCGTGATTGGTTGTCTCCCCACTCCCGGCGATCCCATTGGTCGACTCGCCGCAGCTAGGCGGGGGACCGGCGGTGGTGGTGGTGGCGGCAGGCTTTGGTGCCACAGAGCCTGCTGGTGGGAGCGCGCTCAGAACCCGTTCGCAGATGGCGTCGTGGGTGTCCACGACTGATCGGTAGACGGGATGCCCCTTGCTCTCGATCGACCTGGTTCGGCGATACGGAAGGCAGACACAGCACGAGGTGCGGTGGAGGAGGTCAGGATACATACGAAGCGCGCTTGTGAGACAGACCACCACCAGAAAACGGATGGCAAAAAAAAGAAACACGACACGGCGGTGGGAAAAGGCAAGCGGTGCACATGGTACCTTTTTGAGGGTGAGGTCGGTAGTCACGCCATAGGAGGCCCTCTCAGTACGAGTTGCTAACCCACAAATAAAGTTCTTGGTGACCTCAAAGCGATCTGTCTCTAAAACAGCAGCCAGCCTTGAGGCCCTTCAGGGGGCCCAGGGAGCGGCCCCGCATGCATCTAGTGAACAGCTGGGTAGAGCAGGAGAAGCCTCACACACCTGAGCTGGTGCCGGTCCTGAGGATTGTCAAGAGTGCCCATGACGAGGGCTAGCCCTTTCTCATCTCGAAAGAACGCTCCCAACGTGTTGTGGCCATGGCTTCCTTCGGCCTGGTCCGCTAAGTGAACGCGGTAGTCTCCGCGCCCGTCACTGCGGGCATCAGATGGACGGCAGCGCGGCAAGCGATCGAAACAATCGAAAGACAAAAACGCCTCTTTGGGTTGAAACCGACGTGTAGTGACGAGGCCGCGGAAGGCGGGAGGCGTGTTGCGGTTCTGCGATATACTGGCAAAACGGCCCTGGATGGCGCGACACGTTGATCTACTCTCTGATGAAGGCGTGGTGACTGCTTGCCAACCCGGAACAAGCCGAAAAAGAGATCTGGCCTCAGCCAGCACATCACCCCCCATTGTCAACAACCACAATATTCGCGGCGGGCGGCCGTCCGACATAGCGGTGTCTGGCGCGCATCCCACCAACGGCACCCAGCAACCAGAGAGAACTGACCCATAATCGAAGGCTTCGGAGGAAACTCAACTCGTCTTTTCATAAATTCATCTGAAGTATGCATGCTCATAACAGACAACGCACTGTAAAAAGAACACTTCGAAGTAGTTCCAAGGAATGTCCTCAAAGAACATGATCCCCAGGCACTAGTAGAGCTCTGGCGGGTACACGGAGGAGAAAATTCGTGAATTGTACTGCGTGGTCACCTGCCGTCCATCTTTGCCCCAGGAAACAGGGGATGATTCCCTTCGCAGAACGCGTTGTACTCTCTAGCGACCTCCGGAATGTCGTCACCGAAGGTTCGGAACACCACGCCGAAGTCCGCGTCTGCCTCCTTAAGGGCTAGCAGGCACCAGAAAAATGACGGGAGAATGTAGTGACTGCGAGGCCGGGTCACCGAAGACATGGAGGGGGTTACGGACTTGTGGGAAGGGGCTCGGTACTTTTGGGCAGCGGTTGGGGATTAGTGGGAAGGGATCGGGGACTCATGGTGTCGATGCTTGGGTTGAAAACGTTCAGAGCGGGAGCATGAGTCAGCTAGTCGTGGAAAAGCGGGATGTGGATCATGATCACTCGATTTCTTGCGCTTGCCCGACGAGAGCCTGCGACCACCCTGGCCGTGCAGGTGTACCGCATTAGTGCCCATGTATGTCCACTTCGCCGTTCTTTCCTATACATACGTGGGGTATTGTGTAGCTTCTCTTTCATCACACAAGGGAAATACATGCAGCCTTACGCCTACGTGAACACGAAATTATAACGCCTCGAGCTAGGCTATCGCTACAACGTCAAGCCGGCACCGTTGTTCACTCCTGACTAGTCCTACCAACAGCACGCACCAACACCTACCAGAAAAGTGACGAAAAAGGACGAGCTGTCACCTTTCTCTCCCCGCCAACCCCGCCCCCTTTGCAAGGGGACTCTTCGCCACGGCCTCCGGTAGCGCTAGTGCCTTCTCGAGCTTCAGATACTCCGCCCTTAGGCCAACGCCAGGCTGGCCGTCCTCTGTAAAACACCCCTTGGAAACATGACGTCATGCATGACGCGGAAAATGGGAAAGAGGAATGTTTTTTTATCGCTTGCCCTTGTGAGCTGTGCTGCCAGGAGAGGTTGAGAGGTGGCAACCTAGGTATGTACCTACGCTAGGCTAGTGCGGAATTTTCCTCCAAGAACTTGTCCGCATGCGGTGCGTTGAACCGATCTTAGAGAGGGCGTACCACTCCCGAATACTCGCCATAGATAATTGCTGATCTCCATTCAAAGCCAACGGTGTAACAAGTGTAAGTGTGTGGGGGGTGATATAAACCGCAATACCCCCGACATCATGGCTATTGGCCGATCTTGCGTGAAGCACGGCAAGGACAATTTAGGGGAATACTCTTTGAGAAGGGCAAGTCAAGTTCGGTCACACATCAACACCTTCCCTTAGGCACAGAACGACGGCGTGGCGTTGGCAACCCTACAGCATGCGCTCGCTTGGCCATGTTGACGCATCTCATCCCGGCAAACTCATTGTGCTCATGATCGCCCCGTTCGCCCAACAGCAGGTAGCACCACACCCTGTTCACACAGGCTGCATACACTTCGCGAGCCCCCAGCGCCTACCTTCCTCTCGTCCCTGATATCCTTCATCCGGCGATTATCCTTTCCCTCCGCGTCTCCGAACTCTTGGTGCAAAAAGTCCGAGTACGACACGAGAGCTACTGGGGCGGTCACATGGTGGTTCTGTTGCTGCAGGCCACGCGACCCAGATAGCGTTCTCCTCAGAGGAGGCTCTGTCGAGGGGGGGGCCTTGCGGATAGGGGAGTAGAAGCTCTAAGACGCGATATTTTGGTTGCGGCGAGAAATCAGACAGGCGTGTTGTTGGATACACGGGCACCTACACCTGGACTGGCGACATGTCATGGAAGTGTTCAGGGTTTGTTTCGTTAGCAAAATAATTCGACTAAAGCGAGCGTTGAAAGGGCGAATGGGGTGAGGGAAGGAGACGGAAGGGGGGCACCGTAGCTGCAGAGGGGCGCTACACCAACGTGCACACACGCGTGAGAGAATGATCGTGTCGAATGCATCGAAGATGACCTTCAAAGGGAGGGGGGCTTACAAGCAACGGAGGCGAAGACGGAGCACATTATTGTGTGGACTGAAACAACGTCTGACCCCGGTACCATGCGTTTATAGCGCCAGCGGAGACGTCGGGTATCCAAGGGACCACGAATTAGTTCCAGATGATCGAACGCTGTGAAACGCATGGAGCCTGTCACATCCATATCATATTTCAGCCCAAACACTGGTGTGCAGCAGGTACCGCTGTGTTTTCGACGAACCATTCTCGCACTGCCACCTTCTTTTGGTCCAAGACTTTGTGCTCATCAATCCCAGGGACGTCTGCAAAAGCCACCAGCTCCAGCTACCCGCCCCCGTCCTTGTCAGCCATCGTTAGGGCGGAAAACCCGCGCATATTTGCCCCTTCTGGCGGCCCTTTCGAACAAGCTCTCAACTCACCCCATTCCATGTCCATACCGACGTTTCCTCTGCGCCGGAATGTTCCACGTGCCCCCAGCATATCTCCGCGAGCACGCTGTTGAGGACCTATTCCACACGAGTGGTAACAGCAGAGGCCATGCCAGCGTTCGGCCATGCCGTGTACTTTTGGCGTCGAAAGCGTTGCAACCGAGGGTATTCGTTGAGCCGCAATCGGAGTCTCTTGGAGGGAGTCTTCACGGATAGTTTGTGCGTTTCGTGCCCCCTAACAGCGGGACATACTGTGTGTGCGCATGGCAAACTACGTTGGGGGAAACGGTTCCGCTTTCAATCTCGCCGCGAGCGATAATGTTAGACAGCCGGAGGGCAAGCGCCCTAGTAACAAAGGCTATGCCCGTCGCATTAAGATCAAGGGGAATAATGGTACATCCGGAGCCTTGAAGGCTGCAGAGCGTAGAAAGGTGGTAAAGCGACGGCATACAAAGGGATTTCTTCCGAGAGAGGCGATGACGCAAGCGCACCAGTTCATCACAGATGTATTTGGACGAATAGGCTCTGGATAACACGAAACGTGCCGGCTTCAACCCAATGGTGTACCTAGGTACCGGTAAGGAGTCAGGCACTGAGTGTGTGATTCAAAGCTAAACATCACATCACTTACGCTACTGTTCACAAAATAGATACTCTGTGGACGACGTAGCGTGGGAAAATTGCCATATCATCGGTACAGCAGTATCAAGGACTACTGAAGATCTTCCAACCAACTGATACCTGGGCTTGGGTCTTCCGACCGGCTGGGTCAACCATGATCAAAGTCTTGTTCAGGTCGAAGTGCAGAATCAAGCGCGTCCCGTTAGTTCGTAGCACCTGCGCTATTTCTTGTCCAAGACGCTTAGCCGCATCTCCAGCCCCATTCTCCTTCCCCCATTCCACCGCGGGGCGTGGAGGCGCCAAACACAACTGTCTGCAACCCTGGAGCCTGTAGCTCCTGCCGGCGGGGGGGGTTGTCTTTCCCGGGGCTGCGTGGTAGATATCGCGGTAGCGTCGCGGTCTTTGGCAGAATAACGCCGTCGAAGTCCTCGTGGCTCGGCCACCGATAGTTCGACCGCTGGTTCCGAACATGAGTTGCTGGCTGCGGTGTGCGTTCCCTGCGTTGGGTGGAATGTTGTTCGTACACGCAAATGTACGTGTTAGACTTCGCTGTGATAATGGTACGGAGTAGGCGTATGCCGTGCAGTTTCTGCAGTGGTTGAACAGCGTGGTTCCTGGGAGTTGATGGGGGCATGGCTGATGATGCGTACCTTCTACCCCGGAATCAATCGCAACAAAATCTCCATGCGCCACTCCAGCAAGACGCACACTACGCCCGCAGGTATGTACAGATGGAAAGTGATCCAAAATCCAGATTTGTGCATGCATGCAGTCTATTGTAGGCTCCATACGGGTCTGGAGTACACCGTGCGCTCTTCTGCAGAGAAACGTCCCTTGATAATGCTGGAGGGAGCACTGGAATTCCTATTACCTGAAGGCGACAAAGGGAGCCCCGAAAATTAGAAAGAGAGAGCAAACAAAGCGAAACACGGAAGCAGCACACCGCCGACTTGTTCCAGACTCCCGCACTTTCCGCTCCTAAGTTATTCTGCACAGCCGCCTGCGACGAAACGCGCTTTGCGGCACTGCTGTTATGTTCTCGCTGATGAAGCGAGGGCTCTGTTCCCTGCAGCCACTACACATGTCCTTCCGCAATTCTTTGGCCTACCAGGCCGGGTTGCCTACTTTGCTGTAAAGCTGTAACGTAGACTTTGTAGACGAAGGTCTTGCAGCAGTGTGCAGAGGACACGCAACAACGACGGTAGTAGTGGTACTTGTAAGCAGAGTAACTCACCGATTACAAGCAATCGCAGCAAGACTGCGGTGGTGATCATATGCGCTCACCAACGGCCGCCATGCGCGCCTCTGCCCTATGTTCTCTCTGCTTCAGCACCTGTTCTCTCGCCTCTCTGAGAGCGCTGCGGAGCTGTTGGAAAGTTGAGAGCTGAGAGCTGAGAATTGTGAGCTGAGAGCTGAATGCTAAGGGCTGGAAGCTGAGAGCTGGGTTGCTGCTGGTTGCTGGGCTCTGTCATCTGTAATTCGTGGTTCGGAACCTGGTTCTGGACAGAAAACTCTTGTTCGGAACGGTGTGATGAAATAGTTCCTCCGCGATGCCGGTGTGAAGAGGAACAACGACTGCGCGATCATATGTACTTCGATCTCTTGCCAACTTCTCTCCAAATGCTTGGCGACCGCGGAGAAGGCGAGAGATGAGTAAAACGACCAGCCGGGGGTGGCTGTGATAGCATGCCTTGAGTCCAGAACACATATGCCTTCAGCAGTGGAGCCTCAGGCTCCTGCTCTTTCGAAGTTGTCAACGACCGTGGCGACGGGTGGAAATCCTTCGGGACGAGGAGTCCAACAAGCTGCCCAGGCGCCGAAGTGCTTCATCGACGCACGCACAGACGACGGTAGCGATGAGTGCAAGGCCCAGGGAATCCAAGGAACGTCGACAAGGGAGATGTGAGAATGTTATCGTACCCTCACTACGTGGAAAATATTCAGATTGGCCGCTTCATGAACGTCGACATGGACATGATTCCGTAGTCTAGACTATCTACACAGGCAGTACAGCAGTCCACCCCTTTGGAGTGCCCTTACACCACACGCACCGGCTAAGGTTCAAACAATGCGCTGTTCCTGCCAACCAATATCCAATCTACGTAGCTGATCCAGAATTATTATTCATCGTCAACACGCCTGCCTGCGATTGTTTTCGCATGCATGCATACTGTAGCCATGAAGAAACTACTGCAGCCGTACGGTCGTACCTGTACGTGTGGGCAAATAGCGTGATCTATTGTAGAAGCTTTTAGAGCTTTTCTTTTTGAAAAAATGGCTTCCACGCACACCTGCAATCACTTCTGCTCCACTGCCTGCGTCGTTTCTTACATTTCTCTGTGCAGAGTCGACGCAGACAACGAAGACCAGAGGGACGCAATAATCTCAATTCTTGAAGATTGGGCCGCTTGGGAACGAAATTTAGAGGAAGGTGCCGACGTCGGCGAGACGAGGAAAGCCGACGAGGAAGCGGTGGTGACGGGGGTGTCAGGTATCTCAGCAGCATCGTTGGTCGACACTCACAACGACGCGAAAACATCCTGCGTCTCGAAGCCCATCGATGACCCAGCTTCAGAAGCGCATTCTGCTACGGGGCCACCGAGCAAACAAGGATTGAGGGCGACATTTGAGGCAGAAAATACAAACAAACTACTGCTGTACACATCTAGACGGGAACGGAGACGCGCTGAAAGACATGACCCCATCGCCAGGGCAAGGCGGGAGGCGTTGAAGGTGTGGGCCGCAGACCAGACAAGGAGGAGAAGTTCTGCCGAGGAGGGCAAGCTCAGTGAGCGCTTGAAGCAAACGGGGCGTGGTTCTTTCTCGGATGAAAGGGCCACGGTAAGCGCCAGAAGCAGCAGAAGAAGTTCCACAGACGCTACGGTCGACCGAAACCGGAAGGGTGGAGGAGGTCTCTTGAAGAGCGAGTGGTTTCGCAGGAGGAAGCCACCCTATCGCACTTCCGCGCCGCGCGAGATATCGACTCAGCGCCACGTCCGCAACATCGCCGAGATTCCACTTGGGACGCAGCGATCCAGCCCGATTGCCCCTGCCGCGGGGCCACTGCAAGATGTTGCTAGGAAGTCGAGCCCCAGGTTTCCATGGAGAGCAAACATGAAAGAGCCCGAAAAACGCCCTAGACGGTCCGCTTTCGACCTTTTGCAGGAAGGAGATGTCTCAACGGCACCATCGACCCCTCGGGTTCCCACTACGGTTTTGTCGTCCCCTTCCTCGTCTTCTTCTTTGGTGGTCGCCGGGCGAGGGTCCGCGTGGGCGAGGTCTCCCAGCCGAGAAACGGCAGGGGGAATCCTAGTCAAGCACTGTTTTTTCTACGGGTCGTCGGACAAGGCTACCCCGCGTCGGGCGGCGGCGGAGGCCGCAACAGCAAGCACGAGCTTCGAATCCCAATGGATGCGCCAGTTTCGCAAGGAGGTGCAGAGGAACCCCAACTGGTGGCTCGGCTCGGATCGTTTCGTCCATGGCAGAACGTACGCCTCGCCCGCCGCCGAAAACGTTCCAGGAGGGGCAAAGGGGGCGAGTGGACGGTCAGCTAGGCCCCTTTTCCCGACGGCCCTGACACACAGGGGCGGCGGTGGTATGGCCTCTCGAACAACAGACTTATGGAACGAAGTGCGATTGCTTCTTGCTGCTGGTAGACGGAGCGGGGAAAGGCATGCCGGAGGCAGCAAGCGTGGACGCGAAGATGACCACGAGGAAGGTGACCCGAAAGCCGCTCGATTGGATATCCTGTCGTTCGGCGACCGCCTGCGATACACCCCTTTGTCTCAGGGAGCCTGGCTCGTGGGCGAAGGAGCTACGGCTACCACTGCTACTACGACTTCTTCTGCTTCTACAGAGAAGTCCGTGAGGAATGCGATGCTGTCCGAAGAGGTTCACGTTGCTGTTGCTACCAGAGACATGGTTGATGTTGCTGCGGCCAGGGCAGATGTCGAGGAAAGGCGGGACAGCAAGGCGGGACGACCAGATGCACTCAATCGAGTTCCAAGTAAGCCGGCAGCTGACGAAAGCGTATCCCCAACAGGGAACGTGAGGGCGGAGGCGGGACACGACGACAGGAGCAAAGCGGTGAGAACAAGCGGCTGCCATGACCTGCAGACCATTCATGCCGCCACCCTGGCCAAACTCCGGGGAGAAATCGATCCCTTTACTCGCGAGGAGCTCGTGCTGCGCGCAGCCGAAGAGGCAAGAGGCGCTCTTGCCAGGGACAGGGCACGCAACACATCCCCCCGGCGTGCCTCCGCAGGAGTCTTCCGTCCTTCGCCCAAGGCACGAAAGCGAGATTCTACTCTAGAATCCATCGACTACGATACCGTAGAGGCCACCCTATCGTTGATCGAGCTTGCCACTCGCGCCGCAGGCCCGGACGCTGGAAAGCAGATGCTGCAGGCTCTCGAGGATCTGGACAAGATTCACCAGCGGGTGTCGGAAGAGAAAGGTCCCACCGAAAACGAGCGCTGGATCCTTGATGGCAAGGCCGACGGAGAGACACTTCTGGGGGCGGAGAGTGGGTTGAATGCTGAGATTGGCGATGCCGGAAGATCAGACGCTACGCGTCCTAGGGCTCCAGGTGATCCAACTGCTAAAAAAGAGGATGTGCCCGTTGGGGGAGAACGTTCAAGGACAACCAAAGCGAGTGGGGATCTCAGCGGACGCGACCAGGGGACCCACGCCGGAGGTTCCGTGCGAGCGGAAACGGAAGTGAACGCTTTGAACAGCAACGACCATAATCGGGGCGGGAATCCTGATGCAGGAGATGTTCAAAGCAACACCGACGGCGAATCGTTGCTTGATGGGACAAAGGAAAGCGAGATGCTGGTGGCTACCTCACCCGAGCGCGGGCGAAAATTCTCTCTGGCTGTGAGTTCCTCTTCCGAAGAATCAACAGGCTCGCAGGCATCCTCCGTTGGAATTTTGCAGTCGATTGGGAACTGGCTGTGGTCAAACACACCTCCCTCCCGCTCCCGACAAAACAGTCAGTCTTCCGATGCGGAAGACGCGATCGGCGACGACAGCAAGGGGCAGGAGGAAGGTAGGGCCGAGTTTCCTTCTTCCTTCGAGATGTCGGACACGGACGCAAGTGATCTCCTCGAAAAGAGCCCCGGCGAGATGGTGGATTCGAGCGAGAAACACGACGATACGACGCCGTCGGAACCCCTAGCTAGTGGCGGTGGCGCCAGTGTCCGACACAGCGGTGAAGCAACTGAAAGTGTGACGGTACCGGAACCCGCGACCGAACTTTCCGTGGACCGTGCGTATAGGCAGGATTGCCGAGAACCGCCACCCGAGCGAAGCGTTGGCTTCGTCAACGACAGGCAGGACGACGAAAAGGAGATGCCCAACGGCGTGCAGCATGGACACCAAGAAAAGGATGAGGTCGAGGGGTCAGGAATGGACGAGCGGGAAGCACGAGACGGACGGTCTCAAGCCCCAGCCAGACGAAGGGCTAGAAGGAGCAGCGAAGGTGATAAGCCCACCGGCTTACCTCACCTCGCGGCAGAGATGGCTCGGGTCGAGGAGTCAGTCTCAGCTAGGGAAAACTACGATGGAGATCCGGCCAGCAGCGTGCTGCAAGTGTCGCCTGAACCAATCAGCCACGGGGAATTCAAGGCTGGTACTACCCCCAACAAGGCTGCTCTGGCGGACGAGGAAATTAACGCGGGGACGGCGTCTCACGAGACTGTAGGCGAGGGAAGGCCGAGAGAGAGACACGGCAGCGAAGGCGAAAAGGCATGCGGGAGCTCCCCGCCGGCTTGCGTAGCACCACCCAAGACACCCACACCGTCTCAAACGGTACCCCAGACTACGCCCGCCGAAGACCCTTGGCGGGATGACCCTCAGATTACCAAGCCCAGAGCCGAAGGGGAGGGCAGTAAGGACGAGCTGCTTCAGCACCGCGATTCGACCACGGACGGCGGATCTGCACAGGTAGAATCAGGAGGCGGTCGAGGTGAAGCAACGGGTGCTAGCGGGAATTCACCGTCGTCGGTTTTGATGCACCGCGATAGCTGGGTATCGGTGGGCACGAGGCCCCGGCGTGACCGCAACAACGCCGCGCCCGGACAATCGCCACCGTGTGTTGAGGGATGTACGGATGCTCCGCCGACCACAAAAGTCTCCGCTGGACGCGTCGGTGTTACATCCCAGGGAATAACAAAGGAGGTCGGAGCCGGGAGTGATGCCATCGCCAACGAGAAGGGTATAAATAGCGGCAGGTACGGGACAGGGCATGCCTGATCTAGTTTTCCCCATTGAAACTCACAGGTATTCTATGCTACTACTTTAGTTCGGCCCTAGATACCTTGCGTGGTTTCAACTACTGTAGGCCACTCCGAAGCATAGTTATACGAGCATATCGTATCGCCGCGTTCCCACATGAAGCCTGGTTTCTAGTCTTCTCCGTAGGCGTCGGCCATTTTCGGCTTGACGAAGGTCTCAAAAAACGCCATCCTTGCACCAACTCTAGTGAGCAAGCTCCAAGCGGGACGCTTGCTCCCGTTTGGACATGGGGTCACGAATAAAGGCAAATCTACTATTTCATCACCGTCCAAGCCGTGACGCATGCTCTCGCCGACGTACAGAAATCGAGTTTCAAACACGTAGCAGAGCAGCCCACGCCCGCCTCACTCGCACACCTTCCGTATGCACGTGCGCCGAAGACGGTTGTCTCCAAAGGTCAAGGTAGAATTCGTCTGGCCAAGGCCCGGGAGCGCTTGTGCCCCGAAACGGTTGCGTCCGCCCGGAGAGAGCAAACGCGGCGCGGCACCTACCCCCTCCCGTGAGTTGTCGGGCGTAATTGATCATCCCGCGTGCGAACCAAGTAGTTTCGTTGGACGGTTGGCGGAGAGGCTTTTCCTCTACGTTCCCATCAATGTTATGCCCCGTACCCACCGTTCACGGATGGATACAGCCTACACCATAGTTTATCTTCCCGAAAATCATTCCGTGCAGCTGCTTTGTTCAGGGCGAGTTCTTCAGTCAGCTTTCCCTCGACTTCGCCTTTTTAAGACTCGATCTGGTCACTAATAGTGGCTAGTTCCCCCTACTCTAGAACACTGCAGCCCTCGAGACATCTCGAAAGTTTGTCGAACATGACGCCGATTATTGCATGTAGCTGTTGAAATAGCTCAGCTAGTGGTATTAATGTTTTGAGAGGCCAGTGGTGACTGACGCCTTGTATCTGACTTTGTGATTTCTGTCGGACATATTTCCAGCATGGTGGACCGGAATGTGCTCCGTGCCGTTGGCCACCTTCACCCTGTCCATTCCGTAACTAAACCAACAGCCAAAGTCTACGACTGGTGGTGTCAAGCCAACACAGGTACTTGACGACACCCTTGATTGACATCAGCCTCATCCTTCCCTCTGAACCTCTTACACCGCACAGGAAGAGCGCCCGGCATCGTGCGGCGGTCTCCGCTGATCGATGCCCTGCACCCCGAAGTGGCGAGGCAACGGGAGTTCCAGGGGAAGCGACGGCAGGCACGCCGACGGGATGCCTCTCTTCCGGCTTCGGAGAAGATCGTTCATCCTGCCGATGTCGAAACCGGGACCACTGCTAGCACCATCGCAGCTGCCGGACCTAGCGCAAGCACCACAGACGCGGAGAGAAGGGCCGCGGACGCACGCACTTCTCCAATCGGCGCCCCAAACGCTGCCGCACGCGCTGCGATTGGCAACGCAAAGTCCACGAAGAAGCCCCGCGATGGTATCACCGCCGCCGTCATCGCCAGCAACTCAACCGATACCACGGGAGCTTCACAGTCACGCCGCCGTCGCCCACGATCTCTCTGGGCCGAAAAGGCGCACGAACCGGCTGCCCCGTTGCCGGTGTCCTCGTTCCGAACGCCTCCCTCACCGGCAGGGGAAACCTCACGATTGACACTGGTTCCGGCCGCCTCTGGAGCTGCTTTGAGCGAGGGAGCGAGCATATCCCGTAACGTCGACAACGCCGACGACGATGCCTCCAGAGCGGGAAGGCTGACACCAGAGCAGGTCGGTTTGATTTCATCTTGTAACGTCTTGCGGTTGAAGCACTGCTGTCTACGGTTGCGTCTATTGGCATGGTGCATATGATAGTACCCAATTTCAAGCCCGAAAACAACAACTGGTTTGCAGCTGTAGGGTACGACTCATACAAAAGACACAAGTAGTTCAAGCACCACCTTGTCAATCCCCCCGTGTCGTGCATGCGGGACACGGTTTCTTGTTCGGACCCCTCCCCCTAACACGAAACCCCGCCCTCACAACGTACATGACACGCTACGAAAAAGTCGGATCGCGTGGAGGAATGGCTGGCTCGGGCGGAGCGCTCCTTGGGACCCAAGGTGTGGACCTGCCTCGGGTCGGGCAGGGCTTTCCGCCGCACTTGTGGCCGCATTATCCGGTCTATCATCGTTCGAGGCGGCTGCATCGGCCACGCGGGCGACCGTCGAGGTGGTATGGAAAACTGTGAGTGTCCGCCAGGTGGGTCGGTCGAGCCGGCTCCGGGGGCACCGGGGAGGTCAAGAAGGACGGCGAGGGGAGGGAGGAAAGAAGGGCCGCACAAGCAGGCGCGAAAAGATCGAGCGATAGACAGGGACAGGGAGAAGGAAAATGATGGTGAGCGTGAAGGAGGAGGGGCGAGGGTGGACGGCCGTGGTTGGGACGAAGACTTGTCAGAGAGGACTGCACTTGTTACCGAGGCCGTGATCTGGACGATCGCCACGGAGAGGGAGCGAGAAGCTGCTTGCGCGGCCATTGTCGAAGCACACAACGAAAACGAGAACGGCAACGATGCCCGAGAACGATGGGATGAGGAAGGCAACGGAACAGATCGACAGGCGACCGCGTGGGTTAAAGGAGGAGGCAGCCCTGGCCCACAAACGATTGACATCGTGCACGATTCCTCAGCGGCGACCTCGGCGGCGACAACAGAGCTCCGAATCTCGCTGTCAACAGCACGAAGATTCATCAAGAGATCTCGCCTTACGGACGGGATCCATGTCATAGATGCGGACGTAGACCTAGCCTTCAAGCGATGGGAAGATGTCGAACGCTTGGCCGGACTTGATCAACAGTGCTCGCCTACCGCCGCCGCAGCGTGTGGGGAGGAGGATACGTCTGGGCGCGTCGTCAGTCGCGAGGTTGGATCTGGGCTCGCCGATGCTGCTGCTGTGCCCATCCCGCAGAAGGTGTGCGAAGCGGTTGGCTGTTCGGACCCAGCTCGGTACGGAGACATCGGTCCTAAGGCAATGGCAAGGCTGTGTCGGAAACACAGGTACAGCGGGATGGTGGACGTGGGCAGCCGAAGGTGAGAGACAATCTTACCTTTCTTACTGGTGTTGCTTCTCACGCCGGTACTCAGTGATATTGCGGTCGATCCACAGTAGTACGCAGCAAAGCGTAAACAACTCTATTGGTTGTTCGGCGGCGGCGGCGGCGGCGGCGGCGGCGATGGTATAGCTTTCAGGGTTGGGAAGCGAGGCGACACAGGGCACCGACGGGAGGAACAAAGAAGCATCCACGAGGCAGTGTTGAGGCCGATCGAAAGTAACCTGCCCTCCGACGGGCTTGAGAACGACAAGAAGGAAAATCGGATCCGAGCAGACAAGTGTGACTCACGTTACGTCTAGCCGCTTGGTTTCAGAGAATGTCACAATGTTACGGATCAGAGGACGCGCTTGCTCTTGGGGCATGACTTGAGGAAGGCTGCAATGAAAAAAGTTCTAGCACCCTTCCTCTGACAACTCCGGATCGTCTTTTGTCTTGCGTAGACGAAAGTCGAACCTTTGGTAAATCATTGTTGTACGCTACAACGTTGCCTTTCGCACCCCGCATCTACTGCGCCAAGAATATTTCATGGTCGATGTCGCATGTTGTGGTACCTCTTGGAAAAAAAACAGATGCGAGCGGCCAGACTGTGGGCGGCTGGCGGTCGGTGCAAACGCGACGGCAAAGACTACCTCGTTGTGTACTCGTCACGCGCGATCGGACCGAGTGGGAGTGGAAGGGATGGCGTTTGTGCTCCTTATCCTGTCCAAGGCACGCCACACCCGCCGCAGGTACGTTGCGTGGATAGGTGTTCTTGGTTCTCCGGGCGGGGTGCGTGACACAAACTTTACTACGAATTGTTGTGATGTAGGACGGGGCAAAGAAGTGCATTGTTTGAGGAAACTCCTGTTTGGCGGTTTCTTGCATCCATGTTGATTCCCAAGTGCTGGCGAGTAGGAAAGATACCAAATCATTGATTCTCCTGCTGCGTCCAAAGGTTATCCACACCGAAATCACGTCGTCGACACAGTCATTGCCAACAACATTGACAATACGCCATTCCAGAGTAGTTCAACACAACATCGACAGCGACCACGGACGCCTTCGGCAGCGATAGCCGTCTCTTTCGCCATCGCTCGGCCGAGAAAATGCGAGCGCCAGGTGGCCCTTGACCCTATGACCGTGACCACGTTGCTGTCCTCTCTATTGACCCCGTCCCATTCCGACAGGGGAAACGCAGCGAAGACCTCCAGCGCTGCCGTCGGTGGGGAGAATCAGGCATCATTGGCTCGCAACGAAGTAGTGGCTGCAGCAGCAAACTTGAGCGCCCTAAACGCTTCGGCTGTACGAAACGTCCTCCTGGCCATGACCGAACAACCTCTCGCACCATGCGCACCCACCGTGGGACGAGAGCTTCTGCCCGCGGCCGTACGGCAGGGCTCCGAAACTTACGGCCCTGGGACCAACACTGGTGGGCCTGTTACCCCCGCCGAGCTTTTACATTGCCGTATCGCCACGCCAATGAATTCGGTCAGCAAGCGCACTTCGCCTCGATCGGCGGCAGTAGCTTCCGCACTGGACGCAAGAAGGGGATCGCAGCACCAGCGGCACCGTAGTCGCGGGGCGACCAGCAACAGCTCAGGCGCTTCTGACGAGAGGGGGGACTGGGGGCCGATACTAACGCCCGACGGCTTTCGAACGACTGTGCCGACGCGCAGACCCTCCGCCGCAGCGGCAGCAGCAGCAGCAGCAGCAGCAGCAGCAGCAGCAGCAGCAGCAGCAGCAGCAGCGTCAGCGTCTAGCCCGTCGGTTGCTCCCCTGTCCCGTTCGATAGGCTCTGGAGCACAACTCGAGGAAAATAGCGTGGTGGAGCCGGTTTCCAGAGGGCGAAAGCAGTCGCACGCGCCGATGGGCGAAGAGGGCACGGGAGGTGGAGGGGACCCCTGTAGGCGGACGAGGAGCGGGGAGGGGCTACGGTCGTCGGGGCATCACGCGACCGGGGCTTCGGACGAAGTGGCTGCGGGGGACGGATACCAAGACGAAACGGAACTTCCTCTTAATTGCCGAGTAGCACGGCGCCCTGAGATGGGTAGCGCCGGTTTTCCAGGCGGAAGCGGGATTGACCATCGAGGTGGTGATGAGGATCAACACCGCGCGGAAGGGGTGCAGCAAAGCCGCGGCAGTGCTGGCCACGGGGCAATGCCCGGAGAGATGGCGCAGACGCTGGACGTAGAAGTTGATTTTGGGGGCCGGGGCGGAGGAGGAAGGCGGAGCGGTGTCCACGAGGTATGGACAGTAGGAGAGTGGCGTCGAATCTAGAAACATCATTTTTGGAGAAGAGTTATCACGATTACTTGTATGCGACTCTACGCAGTCAGACAAAGCACAGGCGTAGGCAATGGATAACCGAAAGTAGGAGGGAAAATGAGCGAAAGACACGGCAGGACTGTGTTTACGTTTTGCGATGGGCAGGACTGGATGCATGAAAGCTCGAAAAAGAGATCATATGAAATGCGCGTGGAAGATGGAGAGGGGAGGGAAAACGAACCCCGGTTTATAGTACGCACCCGGTGTAACTTGTCTGTGAAGCGAATGTTTGGACTGTGCACAGGCGCATTCGCCCCGCCATTTTCCGGCGTGTCTGGGAAAGGAACAAACCAACACGCCCGCCCTAGGCGTCGGTTATGAACGAGACGAAAACGGACTACTAACACGCTTGGCCTTCTCTTTTTCATTCGGCAGGTGTTGGAGAAAAACGCCCAGTCCTTGCATGCTATGTTTAACAAGTTTGCTCGCAAATCAACAGGCTGCGAGCGGTGAGCACGATAGTCTTCCAGGCGTTTGGCAATGCTAGAGGTTTGTAGAGGAAGATTCAGGGAGCATCGTAGATAGTCTCTTTGGCAAGGCTAGGACATGTCGCTGAAAACCCTGTTTTTTTAACGGCGTGTTGTGGTTGGGCGGTGTCAGCTCCGGGCCAAGATTATTATTACTACAAGTAGCGTAATGAAAAAAGGGGCACGTTGTGTCAGTCAGTCAGCTAGGCTACGATACCTTGCGCCGTTCCACCAGGTATGGGCCGGTTTTCATGTTAGAGGTGTGCAAACCGTTCCGCCATACAGAAAGTCGCTGCAGACAGAGACTCGTAAGTTTCCCTTCTGGAATATGCCTAGCCAAAGAAGAGCTTTCACTATCAGAGTGGTTGAGCCACGAACTCAAACGGACGGTGTCGCCCCTCACTCTCCCTAAGGTGAGTAGTCGATACCTGGCAAAAGATTAGAATCTATTGTAGGACTGGGCAACGCGCAAATGCCTGAAGCGCGGTATATGACATGCTAAACGAGACTAGCAACATAGCATGTTCATTGTTTTCGTCGGCCTGCCTTCTACCTGCGCATGCATGCAACCAGGGGTACTGTGACGATGATGACTCTGTGCGATGTTTTTCGGTTCTGCGACTCTTTCGAGCTACGGCCGGGATTGGTGTCAACGAGGGAGATCCTAGACGCCTACAAAACGGTACGTGCTGTCATGCTTTCATGACCTCCTGCTTCATGCTTCCCCGACCTCGACTTTGGTACCATTGCTCAGCATTGGTGCATGCTCACCTACGGAGCAGGTTTGGCACTCAGCCGTGGTATATTGAAGCCTAACCAACTTTCTCGCGGTTGCTGCAGTCGTTCAAGCCCTAAGACCAACTTGTGGAAGGTTGATATTATAGCATGGGCTCTCCTTTGTGCTTGAAGTACACTACTACCCTGGACGACAGCGGCCATGGAGGTTCACGGTAGAACGTGCTGTCAGCCGTGTTCTCGGGCACCATCAACATGGCCCGAGGAGGGTTACCGTTGCTCGCGACGCACCCGAACCGTGGGCTTCATTTACTCTATACGTTAATAACACCGTGCGTGTCCGTCTTGATTTCCATTCCTCCGCTTCATGCACACCCTGCTATTGGCTTGGCTCACAGATCGCGTTTCCGGGGGTGTTTGGGCTTAGTGACGAAGATATTGGCTACTCTAACATTGGCGGAGTTTCTAGTGCCTCGGACACAAAGAAACCCCGCAAGGGCGGGAAGGATCGCCAGTTGAGCTCATCTTGTCGAGGGTCTGCTTCCCCTGAAGATGCAACTCTGCAACGTAAACCCTCATCCGCGAGCACCTTCGGTCACACCGACCAAGCCGGCAGTCCCGCCAGTGGCGATAGCAAGGGAGCCAAGGAAAGAGTTGCTGCAGAAGACACGGAGACTCTCGATGCCGAACTACAGAGCAGTCCGGCACCCACGGAAGAGGGGAAGTTGCGGGCTCTGACGCTTCAAGACTTGGCTACCGCGAGACCGGACGCGACAGGTCGAGGGGAACAACTTGTCGTGGCAAGGCGGCGGAGTGACAATGCAGCCAACGCGGCACGAGAGGGACGAGGCAACACCGGGGCGGGTAGCAGGAGAAGCACTATTTACGGGGAAAGAAGCAACAGAGGTTCAGGCAGCCGGAGATGGGCGACTCAGCAGGACGATGACGGGTGCAGCTTGTACTTCAGGTCCGACTTAGGGGCCGAGGGCTACCGGATGCCGTCCCCCTCTCGCCGCACGAGCACCAGCAGCACCAGCGGCGGCGGCGGGGGTGGCAGTGGAAGGGGAAAACGCACGGTATACTTGGGTAGGACCCAGGCGTTTCCGCTGAGACGTGTGGAGTCCAACTTGGCCATCGACGCCAGGGGGTTCGGGCTCAGCGGCGTCTGCCCCGAAAGAGCAAAAGCGGGTGAGGGTTTCTGGCCATTCTGGCCATCCTTCTCTTTGCAGTCGGCCTCCTCCTATGGGCTCCTTTACGTACATATAGTCTAGTCTACTGTACGTCCGTTCGTGATTATCCAAACGCAAAAAAGTGCGCCACCACCAAATCCTCTCCTAGTGTAAACATCCCTGGCTGACTCTTCACGTTTAGCTCACACTCACACGTATATGTAGCGGTTGCCAGCGTGCCCTAGCACCGCTCTGGACAGCAAGACCAGCGTATGCGCTTGGCTAGAAAGTAAGGTTGAGGCCGATCGAAGAGTGATGTGTGCATTCCCTGTATCTACCCTGCGAACTCATCTTCGTTTGGATCATTCGAGCAGGAGACGGCTCCCGGCGACAAGCGAGGGTGCAAAAGCCACCAACGAGCAATCTAGACGGATTCACCGAGAGGACGAGCGACATGAACGAGGCACTAGGTGCTGACGGGGAACCCTCGGCACAGGAGGCATCGGGGCTATCAGAGGCCCAGTTCTTCCAGTGGATAAAAATCGTGGCGGTGGAGTGTAAGGCTCTGACCACCAGAAAATCCTTGGGCAATTCCTTGACGCGACCACGTGCTAAGTCGGGAAGAGGGACTTGCGGAGGGAAGGCTGAGTCTGTTGATGCCATGCCTGCCAACGAGAAGGACAATGGCAGCAGGAGGCAGGGAGTAGCGAGTGCGGTGGTACTGCTGCAATGGATGGAAGTATCTCGAGGGATGAGGGAAGGGAAGGGAGAAGGTATCCCACCTTTCCAGCTTTCGTCATGTGTGGCGAACACCATGCCTCTTCCATCTGGAGAGTAAATGTTACACCTGGCGTTTTTGTTTAAAGTCCTAACTACAATTGTACGCGTCGTACTTTCAGCGACGACACCCACGCGGGGGTTGCCGGCGGCTACATCCTTTTAGTCTATATAACGTTTTTGAGGGCTCCGGTATGCTACGGGCCTCATCTGTGCAGAGAAAGTGTTCAAATTGACTGTCGATCGTAGGTAAGGTGTGTGTGTTTTTATTATTAGCATCGACCGCTCTAACCGGCTGACCAATGAAAAGACGTCAGTCTTAGTGCGGTTGAAAACACAAAACATCTGTGTATCTATCTCGGTAGTTTGTCGTGTGCTGAGTGAAGTGCGGGTGTGCCAGAGAGGCGGATGTGTTTCCCACCTCAATCCTTTGCGCGATTGTTCCGTTTTCGTTCAGAGGCAAGTCTGGCAGTGGTTGACGCGTACATGTATCAATGCAGTATGTGTATGGATTGCGTGCATACATGGAGCTCCCGGATGGTAGGGAGAGCAGAGTGAGAGAGATAGAGAGAAATCGGGGGGAGGCGGTAGGCGGTAGGGCTCAGAAGAAATCGACAGACCCGTCGACGAATTGAATATTTCGTCGAACGTTTCGTGGCAAAGTCATTGCGCCGCTTCTACAGCAACGTGGGCACTACTGCGTAGTACTCTAGACGCATGCGCTCGCACACGGGGGTGTGCCTACGGGCCGACTCTTGACCCCCAACGCCATAGACACCAGCCGGAATAGTTGAAGGTGAATTTGCTCGATCGGAGCGTCAAAAGACGTAAGCGCAACGCGCGGTGTTTTGGGATGCGGCGCAATAACATTTCATGTGTTGTTCGATCATCGTGAACCTTTGCTGGCAAAGACCCATCACATGAGACATGTGGAACACGCGCACCTGTACTAGCTAGCAGCTCCAAACAAGTCAGCAGCACCAAACAAGTCATCTCCAAACCATCTCTTGGAACACCGGACACATGTGTGACCCGGTTCAACACCACGCCAGGTTTCACGTTCCAACCATACTCTTGTGCCCCTCCCAGAAAACAGAGTCCATCAGCGCTTTCATGTGTGAGCCTGTAACCCACAGACATCATCTGCATCATTGCAGGCAGACCACCTTCCCCGAGAATCAGGGCAGCACAGATAGGCACTCTAACTCTGGGACTCCATCTCGAATGATCCTAGACCCTTGACCTGACTATGTAGTCTATTTCTGAGACTAGACTTATGAGAATCGTCTGCTTTCGTAACAGGAAGACAGCGAGTCTGTTGGGAAGTCGCGCGTCCAATTTCGTGCCTTGTGTGTAAACGCACGCGTGCTGCGGGGTTCTCGCGTGGGTTTAAGAACGCCACGATCGAGTCAAGCCTTCGTCCAAGCACACTGTATCCTCGGCGAGCCCGCAGAGGGATTCGGAGCAGGAGTGACATTGCGTCCGGCGTGTGTACCCTTCACACATTTGACGCGTGATCAACGTTTACCACTGCTGTGTGTTGGATGGAATGTCAGTGCCACCAGAGCATCGACCAGATTCGCTTTCGATAAAATTAGCGAAATGTCAATCAAATATTTCAAATCAGATATAGACTATGTCGCCTCGCGGATGGCTCAAAGACAGCATGATTCACCCGATGTTAACAACAAGCCTGACAACGTCTTGTATGGCTTCAACCCCTCCTCCCAGCCGCGCGGCGTACCCACCCCGTCTGGTTGCCGCAGAGCGTCCACTATCGAAGGAGTGGTCCGACAACATCTCTCAACCTCGAGATCAAGCCCCTTAAGCTTACTAGCACCAAGAAGAAAACTCGCGCCAAAAGACGCACTTGTATGGGCCGGCCTCCAGCAACAGCCCATCCCACGAGAACCGGCATGGATACCTCAAGTGGAGCGCGGGGAGGGGGACGACTAGGAATTCACCGCGGAATGGGTCATGGTGTGAACGGGCAGCAGGGGGCCGCCGACTTCGCAAAAGCTTTCTCCGACGGCGACATGAGTGAGTCGTCTCTTTCGGGAGACGACGAGGATAGCCTCGTCAGACGCGACGAGACCAGCGACGGCTGGAACAACAATATGTCGTCTTCGTGCCAGGCGTTCGGTTCGGTGGGTGCCTAAGGCCTTGTTCCACTACACGTGTCTCATCAGCTTGAGTATGTAACGGTTTACTGTCTCCTGTCAGCGTTGGGGACCCCGAACAGCTGTGGGTGGTAGAAGGGTGCGGTGTTGGGATTAGGCTCGAAACCTATTGGCGTAGACCTGATATTCGTTCTTGCGTGGTATTTCCGCTCGTGTTTCGCGCGGGAAATGTACATTTTTTGGCAGCACGGCACTCATCACAGAGCGATTGGTTGCCACGGCGCTTCGTCGCCTGGTGGAGTGCGTGCTTCGAAGACAAACTCAGGGGCAACCGGGGGGGGCTGCGCAATGACATTCAAATCAATGCCCACCCGAGCCAGAACAATGTCCACGTCGAAATCCGAAGTCGACATCTTCGAAGCAAAAAAGAAGGGCGTCCGGTTGCCCAGAGTGAAAGTTGCGGCCCTGCATCGTGATAAGGCGGACAGCGTTGCACCTAGACGCCGTGGGAGGCACCGGGACATGCGCTTGCCCCCCCACGGCGGGCATCAGAACACAGCGTGAGTGACTGGACCAAACGATTTATTTTGCGTTTTTTTCTTTTAATGGGTACATCGAGACTGTTCCGCGAGTTTTGCCCGACAGATCTCGTGCGCTCTAAGCGCTAGCACTACACGGGATACCACAAGGTATGCCGTCTCCCGCCCAACCAAGCGTTCCAGACGGGCGTGGGCGTTGACAAGGATTCGCGAAATGCCTAGGGGATATTTCACGTAAGCGCCCCGCGAACTACAACTCTAAAGGTACAAACTCTGCTATGCACGAGCACTGCCTGGGTCTCCCTGCTCTGTTTTAACGTGTTTGTTTCGGCCTCTCCATCCGCACGTGACCGTACCTGGGCTGCAGGACAAGCGGCGTGACCAAAGAAATAGAGGCTCAGATTACAGACCTGCGCGCATGTCCCCACGCAAGGCGCGCTCTGGAGGCCAGGGTCCGGCAGTACTTCTCGAAGCGGTCGAAGCGATATAACCGATGTGACGGCGGCGGCGGTCGAAAACCTTCGGGAGACGGCAGCAGCATCGGCAGCAACGAGTTAGTGGGAAGCGCTGGCATTTCCACCGCTACAACCGAACCCGCGGGCCAAGGAGTCCCTCATGATGATGGCAGCAACAGCTGTTGGCAGCAGCACAAGGAGCAGGCCACGTATACGAAAGCTCACCGTTTGGGTACCAGGGGTTTCGGAACCGGAGGAGGCGGGGGGGCTGCGGGGCAATCGGTGTCGGGAAGAGCAGCCGGACCGGTCAGCGCCAGTGACCGGTTGGCGGCTCAGACGCTGCGTGCCCAGGAAGTCCTACGGCGCAAAAGGTATAAAGTACGAGCGCGAGGAGTACACTCGCGACTTTTGTGTTGTTCTGTGTACTCTGCTCTGAACATTCTGTGTAACGGTAGAACAGTTGGCTCACGACACCTTGTTGCAATAAGTCGTTCTCGCGTGTAATTTCAATGGTTTGGGCGAATGAGAGTCGCACGCAAGGACGCTAAGCACCTCGACGGCAGTCTGGCACGATAGAACGGAGCCGTCTTGGGATGAGTCCGGCTCACGCGCACGAAGGAGAGACAAACTTACTGTTGAAGAAATTCTACATCCTCTAGGCCACCCCCGTAGTGTTGGGGAAGAACGTTGGCAAGTCTCGACCCCCTTAGTCGCAGTACTGTCAGACAGCGCGTGTTAGGTTCGCGACTTGGCCTTTTCAGTAGTTCGCAAGGGACGAAGGACTGTCGACTCTTCCTCAGGGGGTTGTCAAAGGCGTGCACCATGGTGGGGATCATGTTGCCCTCCCCCCTCCCCTGGAAGTTGGCCGCTCCGTAGAAGACTCAGTAGGAGTGGTTATTCATGAAAATATTGTGGTACCTAAGAGGGCCGAGAGTCGAGAGGCTCGGCCTGGAGTTCAGGCACAAATACGAGTTATAGGTGCGGGATCCAAAGGAGTGAGTCTGACTGGATGAAGAACCAGTGAACACTGGCTGAACGCAAGCGTACGGACATTACCAAGGTCAACGTCAACCCCACCCCTTCCCCTAACAACAATACCCCCAACGACAACGACAACGAAAGCAGAAAAAAGCCAAGTGAAACGGAAAGCAACAACCACGTGTTCTTTTACTTGCTGTATCCAACCTACGAGTCAGAGCCATCGAGGACGAGCGAAACAAACAGGTCAGGGAGCGTTCTGCAGTTCTGCAACACGAAGCCCGACGGGACAAGCGGCTGGAGAAGAAGAGGGCCGAAAAGCTGATCACATACGTTTACTGCGCCGTTGGGGTGAGCGGTCGTTATGTTGTCGGAAGGTAGAGCCTGTGACGTTGGGGTAAGGAATTGATGGCAGAACAGGCTACTAAATCCTCTCGAAATATGGTGCAGTCCCCCTATAGTTTATGTTGTTCTGGAATCGCCCCATACAATTTGCGAGATCTCGCGTATACTTGTCATTGGGCGTGAGTGCCCTGGGAAATATCCTAAGGCGAAGAAACACTGTCCCCGAGACGGGCGTATATTGGTTGAGTGAAGGGTGACGTCAGAGCCGTTGGGTCGTCGGAGACGTCGCCGTAAAGCTTGTTGGCAACAAAGCATCACTTGAGACAGAACATGAAACGGTGCTCTAGACCAATTGTTATATGGGCTGCCGTCACCTGACCTTGTGCGACAGTTCGCGGATTGGAAGGTTCGGTTTGACGAGAAGAGAACGGCGAAGCACCAGGCAGAGCGGAAAGATCACTGCGCACGCATTGTACAGGTATCCCTACCCCTGTCATCCCGAATCGCACCCAAATTCTCAGCTACGAAATTCTAACTCAGGGCGGTATATAGAACAAGGCGGGCTTGGGGCCGCACACATGTGTCGGCGTACCTCCAGTTAGAGTTGGGTATTGGTCGGCTGTTGTTGGCGGAAAATGGTTCAAGGTAGAACAACAGCCTTGATTACAACAGAAAATCGTTTGTACTTTTCTGGTGCTAAAGCGTGCCGCCAGCTTGGAAAAAACAACAGCCACCTTTCCGTCCCTGAAGCACCTTCCTTTCCATTGTTCTGCGTGCATGCTCAGCTTCGTGTTGATCGTGGTAAACGATTCTTGCGGTTGGTTATTTGAGTTTCGGACAAGGAAACAGGCCACTATCTGAGTCATGCCGTACTTATCGGTCACTTGAGAACGCATGGGGGCTAGCGTAAGTTCGTTTTGGCTGTCGATGACGGCGACAGTGGTTTCTGAATTGCGCAATACTGCTGCAGCGCACTTTGGCCGTTGGAACTTTGGATGTACTCGACAATGTTTGGTCATTTCTCAAACGGATAAGATGTTCGGAGCTGTGTTCCTTCTACACCTTCCGCCTCCTGGTCATGGACACGTCCATGTCGCGAATCTGTTCCAGCGAGTATGGCGATTCAATCGAATACGACGCACCATAGCCAAGGTTCGAGAGTCCACTCCAGCAGTGCGAACGATCGTGTTCAGCATGCGGCGAAAGGCGGCCGTAGCGAGGAAGACCGTGGCCAGGCGCCACAAGACACAAGCCGCCGATCTCATCCGCTGCGCCTTGAGGGTGGGTGCAGCTCCCGCCCGTCCTGCCTTGTCGACTACCATGTCGTCTGCGTACTACCTTCGATATTTCTCCTGCTTAAGCTGTCTCCCGCTAGCATAGGGCTTTATTTCCCACGCCTCAAGATGCCCTCTTCATGGACACATGTGGAGGATAATTGGGCACGAAAGTGAATTAATGATGCGCTTCCGGTTGTCGTATTCAGGGAAAATAACTCTACAGTAGGCCTGAACTAAGCACGAGTCCATGCAATGTGTACCCATCTAACGCTTCCGCCGTGTGACAGGTTCACTCACAATCGAAGGAAGCCACTGAATCTGTTTTTATTGTTCGCGACAATAGAATTGATATCCTGAACAATCCAGACGATGGATGGCATGAACGATCACAATGCTCGATGGTCGGTTTGGTCACATGGCAGGCCGGCACTCGCACACTGTTCCGGACTCGAATCAGCTACTACCGCGACAGGATTATCAAGTGTCAGCGGCTGTTCACCAGCTACCGCGACGTCACCAAGGCTAGAAAACGGGCGCTGATCAACAAGTGGACAAGGTCGGACGCCGCCTTCTGTTTTGATGCTTTCGGTGCCGCTGTGGATCTAGTGCTGCGTTTTATGTCTTCAAGGTGTTGGCGATGGGTGATACAACTTGAGGTATGTATCCCGATGTCTCCATGCTATCGTGGCCTATGTGCTGTGTTGGAGGGTTGAGGGTTTGGTAGATTGCCGCTCTCGAGACAGACTTGAAACGCTCAGAACACTGCTTGGCTGCAATTTCGTACCCTGTCTCGCTGTCTGCAGTGTGCAATACTGAACGATAGATAGAGAGAGAGAGAGATAGAGAGCGAGCGAGAGAAAGAGGGAGAGAGAGCGGGTATTTGACAAGGTCCGCACTTTTCTCACGCCTGATAAATGCGACCTCCAACCACAAGAGCACTCGTGTCCATGACACTTGCTCTGAACCGTGGTGGTAGCCCCTGAAACGGGTCGACTTCGTTCGCGTGATACGCTGATTCTAACGCAACCCTCGATCGGAATCCCTACGCCGGACGTCGTGGTGGCATCGTAACACCCCCCCCGTACCACAGGCACGTGCACATGGTAGATGAGAGACGGTTCAGTATGTACTCCGCACACCTCCGAGACATGTACAACTTCGACCCAGTCCAAGTAGAAGGAGTCCTCAAGGAGATGCGACTCCTATCTGCGCAAGGGCAGACCACGGCTCAGGTGATCGTGACCCTCAAGCCCACAACAAAACACCTTGCTTCGCAACACTGGGGTCTGCACGAAGAATACCTGAACCAAGGTTACAGTAGCGTTTCGGGAAACAAGGTAGCGCTTCGACACGCAAGTCGATGCCGTTATTCCTTGTCGCGTCAAGCAGAGGTCGAAACAACCCAACCCTAACCCCTCGGCGTATGGTACTTCAACAACGAACAATGCGCAGTGTTTCGGTGATGCTTTGGTTTAGCACGGAACACTAACGTAGATGGCACTGTAAGATGCCGCAATCACCCCGAGATGCTGGAAGGCAGCAAGGTTCTTTTGAAACCCCACCAAAACAAACCACGAAAACGCACCATCCATATCGGAATCCCTACAAATCGTGCCTCCCCCGGGTTGACAGTATCCCCCGCCATACTTTGGCAAGGCGTGATAATCAATCCTGGCTGTCGCGCCCCCCTCTAGGCCATGAAGACGAAGATCTTCCTGGGGACCGGCGACGCCGCCGGTAACCACGCAGCTAGAAGGGCTGACGGCGGCAATGCTACCCAGACCACCGACAACAAAGACAATAACAACGACGACAACAACGGCAATGAAGCCAATCGAGAGGAAGGGGTAGCGAGCACCCCTTCGGACGGGGAGAGCATTAGGCACTCTGGGAAAAATCGAGCTCGGGGAGGAACAGCACGGTACGGGATCAAGGCGCCCGTTGGTAGATACATTACACGAATGTCACCGAGAACTTCAGGGGTCCCCTCAGAGGACCGTCCCTCCTTTTCTACCTGTCGACCGGGTCTCTTACCGGAATTCAAGGAACGCCAGTCAATTGGCTAGGAGCGGAGAAGGGTAGGAGGAGGTCTCTTTTCTCCCATCGACCGATTTCGCTCTTGCCTTGAGATAATGTGGCGGTCGTACGACGGGTTCGCTGTGTCTACCATTCATTCCCTTTCGCTCCTCACTACCGGTCGGATTTAAAATAATCGGGTGAGGCTTAGGGATCGGGAAAACTTGGGGTCAGACAACGGCCGAATAGCAAGCAATAGGGCGGTAAGTTTATTCGGCTGCTCTTCAACATGATGGTGCCAGGACGAACGCAGCACCTCCTGCAAGTCCTACCACTCTTTGATATACGTGTTTGACTACTGGCAGAACCAGCAAAATAGGTAGAAAACCTCTTCGGACGCTACACAAAGGCGTAGCAACAATGCAACAATAACAATTGACAACTGCTCGCCTTGCACGCACAAACTTGTTTCTTTGCAGGACCACACGAAACGGAGATCCGGCGGCGAACCTCACTTCCATGTCGGGAAACGGTAATAACCGCCAGATCTCGGGTTACCGGATTTTCTGGGAGATGTTGAACCCGTAGGATCCCCGATCATGAGGACTTGCATGGCCCCGAGTTCCCACCACCCCCTTCCCGTCCCCCCCGCGTCATGCCGTGCCAGCCCCTAAGGCCAAGGTCAAGCTAGCTGCTGGGTGGCAGAAGCGAGTGGCGCATGTGCACAGTGATGTCGAAGCGCAGGCTTCTTTGATGTGCAGGCGGGGAGTCAAGCACAAGGAGGTAAAATACCTTCAGAGCAAGAGGATCCTCTCATCATGTTACCGGGTCTAGAAGGGGCATGATTGATGAATCCATGATACCACCTACACGTGTTTAGAGACGAACACGCGTTCCATGGGCAGCTAGCCCCACCATGCATCCGTGTCTGAAGCTTTTGCGACGGATAGTGCCACCCGTTGGTGCGTTGTCACTCGTCCCCCGTCGAATACACAATCCGCGGGTTTGTGCTTCCAGCTGCTACCTCCCAAAGTTGACGATGTGCGATCGTTGTTGACGACTATCCTGTAAATTGAAGTCAACGGAATTTGTGTGGGGGCATCCTTTGACACGGCCTTTCGAGCAAGGCGCTGCCAACCAATACATTCTTCGCCCTTCTGAGATACTCCTTGGCGACGTGGCACGTTAACGTGATGTTTTGAAAGCAGATATCGCGGTCCCTGCGAAACGTGCTGATCAACGACCTCCTGGACTGCGCTAGGCGCGAATACAGAAACTGGTGTTGGAATCAGGTTAGAGCGATCCGGGAGAAAGAGAGACAGACAACCGTTGTCGATATGACGGACATCCGAAGGTACGATCGAAACAAAGAAGGGCGCAGCTGGGTGCAAAAGTGACAAGCTGTCGCGATTTTCATTTGGGAAGAACACGAACGGACAAGGGAGCATACGATGAAGTCGCCAAACAAAGATGCTGCAATGTTATGTTAGGATGGCATCCGACAAAACGACCAAGCGTATTCTACACGTGGCGAGGACGCCACGCTAAGACTCACGAAAAACAGGACCACCAGTTAATCTGCCCTGTTTTTCGTATGGCGTCATTCACGTGCAATCTGTTGGCCCACATTGTTAGATATTTGTACTTTGTTGTTGGTTCACCAAGTCGTGCTTCTTCTTGGAAGTTTGAGGTTTGTACTTGCGCCCTCTGGAAGGATGAATTCTGCCAAGTTTGTCGAACCTGAGGAATGAGAGGTCAACACCGCAGGAGGAGAACGTTGGTTTATACAGGATCCCATTCCCTTGGCTCCTTGCTGCATGTACACCGTCGGAGAACACCAAATCCTCTCCGAGCTGGGCCGCAAGCTACACACACACATCGACATGTGCATTGCAACTTCGCCTACCAAATACCGAACGCAATACTGCTGGAGCTATGTAGCTTGATAAGATCCCGTTTTTCCCGGAAACGTGTGGAAAGTCTTGAAGTATTTGACAACAGTTGGGACCTGCTTGCGGATAGTGGGCACTTGAAGGTGCACGGCAATATACCCCTGATAAGGGAACACGGAGACTTGTGATGAGGTGCTAACTGTTTTCAAGAACTTTTCTCGACTCTCTGGTGGAACCGTGGTGAACATATTTCTTCCCGAGTGGCTTCAGAGGCGTGGTGCGACGGTCACGGGGTCTTCAAACGTTTTGCCTGAACCTGGTTTTGTGCTTGCTGGTGACCATGGAGCTTCGAGTCTTGTCGTGAAAGCTATGCAGGATAATGTACTGGGCGAAGAGCGGTTTTTCATGCGGTGGCAGCAGCAACACACACCAACACACAATACCACGACAACAACAACAGCAACCACAACAGCATCAACATGAACCATTCTGACCTTGCGGTATCTCGTGTCACGACTCGAAATGGCATGACTTGTACGCCGCCGCTCCACACGACACATCAGCGCGTTGCGAAACGATTCGCCGTCTAAAGACGGAGAATCACTCGAGGCCAAGATCAACGCTCGCACGACGCAGAACAAGAGCACTCTCCCCTTCAACAGGCAGGAATCCATGCACCTCATGGGAATGGTCAACGACGAACTACTCACCAGGTACTACTTTAAGCCTCCCCGTGATCTTCCCCCGCTGGATTTCGTAGGACATAGAGAAGCTTTGTACCAGATATCCTGCGAAAGTAGTACGTGTGACCAATGGGCTTTGTCGTCTTGGATTGTGGGCCTTTTGAATGTTCTACGCGTCGGGCACACTGCTTGAAAAATTATCGCATGTGACCACACAAGCTTCAAGGTGAAGACATTCACGCACGTTGGCCTGAGATCAGGAAACTGTTCACCCCGTACCCTCAAGCTGCGTAACCCAAAACCGAAGTAGGCACCTCCCAGCATTGTATCGATCACCTCATTGTGATGACAGCACGACAGCTCACCACCTTAGGAAACTTCTCGCAAGCCCCAACAACTTTCTGAGGTGCTTGGGGCCTACATTTCTTCCGGCCGCCATCCGTCAGCGCCATATTTCCCAAACATGTGTCAAGAAAGCCCGTATTATTCAAAAAAATTGTTCACCTTCAAAC